GAGAGAGATATCTATATATATTAGATATAATATATTACTATATATATTACATGTTGTGGTGCGTGTGTGTGTGTGTGTGTGTGTGTGTGTGTGTGTGTGTGTGTGTGTGTGTGTGTGTGGTGTGTGTGTGTGTGTGTGTGTGTGTGTGTGTGTGTGTGTGTGTGTGTGTGTGTGTGTGTGTGTGTGTGTGTGTGGTGTGTGTGTGTGTGTGTGTGTGTGTGTGTGTGTGTGTGTGTGTGTGTGTGTGTGTGTGTGTGTGTGTGTGTGTGTGTGTGTGTGTGTGTGTGTGTGTGTGTGTGTGTGTGTGTGTGTGTGTGTGTATTGGATAACCTGAAAACCAGAAATCTAGAAAAAACAGAACTGGACAAAATTCGGAAAGTTTTTCCGTACCTGTCTCCTTATGGTGACCTACGACACTCTGCCTCCCCGACTCATGTTGAGAAATCGACTACCCATGATTCTCAGATTTGGACCGTATTGACGGTAAATTGCAGACTGAATGGGGTTCTTACGCTGCACACTACACGAAAATAAGAAGTTTCATTGACGAAGTTGAGATATACGAAACTGCAATTTCGGGAGATAGAATAGTTAAGTTTCTATGATACATCAACCTGAAACCCGTATTTATGGAGAAAGAAAAACAAAACGCATATAACTGGCTCAAAATCCAAAACAGCAGAACATACATCATAGAAACCGTCAACATACATACTAATAGCGAGTTCCAGGTGTATATCTTTACTTGGTGGTCAATACCGATCTGAGTATCTCTATCAAAGATTCTGATGCTAACAAATCTGAAATCTGGCGTCAAGGGATATGAGGCTCCCGACATGCCACACTGATTTTCGCTTTAAAGCGTGACCTTCAGTGGTCAGGGTTTTTGACGGAAACTAGCGTATGCACAGAGGAAGATTCAGATGCTTAAAGCCCACAATCAGACGGCAGTTCAAGGGTGATGTGGAGCTACACGACATTTGACCTTAAATGGGCCTTGGCGGCGACGTGATATTTGAAAAAGCGTCAGATTCATTGTTCTCTTATTGTATCTAGGTGGATACCTGGAAAAATCGGAGCTGGAGGCCAAACAAACCGTGAAATAGATCACCCACTTTACGGACGTACCATCGCACTGATTGCTGGCCCGACCTGTTTTTCGGCGGTTGTGTGTTTGCCGGTCGTTGGGCCAATCTTAGATATTTCTGCTAAGTTTGTGTTGAGCTGTAAGCATGCGGCAATACTTCGGAGCAGTCAACTGCTAGGTATCCAACGTTCAGCTCGCATGCGCTGCAGTATTACGATTTCCACGAACCGTCTCAAATTCGTAGTGTACTAGAGCTACCGTGTGTTCACAACAGGCGGAGCCATGATTGCTGCTGTCGAATCCGCCATCGCCTGTGGGTCGCATGCCAGCTGCACATTATGCATCGGTTTGTGATATTGTGATGGTTCGCCGCGCGCTGAGTTTGTACTGTTTATCCAAGGCGGCGCCAGTGTTTGTTCGGAGCAGCAGCAGTCTTCTCTGGCAGCTGCAGCTGATCAGGCAGCGAAAGCGACGTTCCTTTAAACGCATAGAGCAGTCAGAGACGGACCAAAATTTCGAGAAACACAAGGTCGGCCAGTCTGCATCTAACATCTGCAATTCATCCGCCTGCGAGATCTTGGGAACTCCCAAGATCTACGGGACTTTGGAACCCTTCAAACTTTCGGCATTTGAAGCGCTAGGACTAACTTGGGCGAGTGGCGCGCTCGACTCCAGTGACAGTCGCGTAGAACACCAGCGAACATCTCGAGCACACGCTGAGCTCGCTCGCCCTTCTGAGGAGGTCACCTCGGGCCGCATACCATGTTCCTCTACCGGCTACCGCTGCTGCTGCCGGCGCTGCGGGTGCAGGCCACCATGCTAACGATCAGCGCCATACACTTTCAGACGGCGTCCGTGTACCTCAGCCCGGCGCCGGAGCGCGCTCTGCTCGGCCGGCCGGTGTCCCGCGCCTGCACCTGCATGTTGCTCTGTGCGGCCCGGCCGCGCTGTCACGCCGTCCTGGCGCTCAGCGACGGCGCGGGGCACACTAGCACGCCCAGCAGCGCGCCGGCCGACGGCGGCGGCGCGTACGCCAGAGGCAGAACACGCGCGCTACGGCAGCCGAGGCGAGCGGCAGTGAACGCGACTGCCGCCGTGGAGGGCCTGCCGATGCTCTGCCTCCTGTTCGGGGAGACATACAGCCTGCATCCGGCCGGTGTCTGGTATTTCGCGACCGATTTCTATGTCAAGCATCTCCACTGGTAACTCACGTCGGCAACAGAAAAAAAGTCCAAATGGATGGTTGAGGCATCAGCCAACTGGCGGGGAGGGGAGGGGATGCTTTCCTGCGCAGGTTGTGGCGACAGGTTTCCCACCTCGGCCCCTTCCCCGGCCTCAAACTTGGAAGGCAGCTATCCCGCCCCATATTAAATATAAAATTCGTGTGGAAGGCCATTTCAGCTTAGGACCTGTGTTGACGTAAAGCTTCCTGCCCCTTTCCGAAAATTATAACAACTTCTCCTCTGCCTTGATATAAGGAAGAAAGGCCCTCGGCTCCTGGCTTTTCGGCATTATGAGTTCAGAGCCACCTTCATTGTACCAGAAGGTACGGGCTAAACGACGTTACGGAGCCAACATTGGTAATACTGGCAGTGACCATTGATCCAACACCAATTGGTAATACTGGCAGTGGCCTTTGATCCAACACCAATTGTTATGATCCATAAAAGACGACAACAAGACTCAGATGCAACTGTGTGTGAATTCAAACCTGAGCATGGGGCCGGGTCCCAGCTCTGGTGTTTTGAGTCCCAGCCCTGGCGCCTTGAGTCCCAGTGTCGAGCCCATACCAGTCGCACTACATGTCCTTGAGTCCGAGTCCCGAGTTTGAATACCTGAAGTTAATACCTGGAAAGATCTGACGACAAATGAGTTTGGCCCCCCCTTTATCCCAGTTGCCTTGTATTTCAACATTCGTGCCTGTGAAATACGGCGGGACCAAATTAGTTACCAGTCGAATAAGCGCAAGCGTAAAAGAGAGTAGTGTTAATCAAAGTTGCCTAAACCTGAGGAATGCGTAAGCTGCAAGCGGATTACTGAGACTTGGCTGACCGAAAACAGCCCTCTTGGGCTAGATACGGAGAAACTTAGGCCATTTTTCTGCATGTTTTGACTCACGTAACCTGTTTTTGTCGCTTGTTCGCTCTCTACGGGTCAATTATTTTGCGATGTTTTGACTTGCACACGGATCGCTTTCAGAGGACAGCGGTCCTTTCAAGTATAAAAACATGTATCATGTGACTCATGTCCCAATCATGATGGCAATGTCGGTGACAGCGTAGCAGCGAGGCCGACCTTTTTTAGGATACCTAATCCTTTATAAGCGATTTCAGTGGCCAAATTGCATGATGTTAAGTGCAAAGTCGATACAGGCTAAACTTGTGTTGAACTGAGGTGCGACTGGTGTTTGTTGTGCTGGCCCAGGTTTTCAAAATCCTTGGAATCTGGGCCTTATTTATTCGTTTTGCCTGAGCGTGCTCTCGACTACAGCCGCCGTTTCTGCTCATCGATGAACTTGAGTCTCGTTGTGATCAAAACTGCTTCACTCCAGACCAACTCGCGCGTGTTCATGGATCCAGAGCGCGAGTCGTACCTTACTCCTAGTCTTGCTTTGACGCGGTCAGTCAACCATCTGGACTTACCAAACAAACGCGTGAAAAATGCCAGATTCCTGGCATCGGGAGCGATCTCGGTACATGTGTCTTGGCAAAAACTCCTGATCTCCAAGGGAACATCGTAGGCACCGAATTGTCCTACCAGTGTTTTCTCCCAACCCGCAGCTCAACCGACGCGACAGTATAGTGAAATAATTCACTATACTGACGCACCACCGATGCCTTTCCCGTGACCTAATGGTGGCAGACGGGTGTTCGCTGGCGTTGAGCTTTGAGCTGTCACCTTGATGCCATGATAATATTGGCTGACATATGTGTATACATTCCACACATGTACATTCCACATTCACATCCTAAAGTCACAAAAAACTGCCGTTTGGCTGCGGCTATCACTGAGCTTGGACGATGTTGCAAACCTCACCTGACGCCATGCAAAACTGCGTGGCTGTTAAACATGAAGTGGTGATTGGGTTCATTCGGGTGCCCAGGGAAGGAGGCTTGTGAAGACATGTCCTCTCCCCCGGTCCCCGCCTGGAGGTGGCGAGGGAGCCCTGAGGTCCCTGGAGTAATTGTTGGTAGCTTAAGGTGCCGATATGACAAATGAACAAAGAACGGGTCCCCGAGGCATCAAAATGGAGCGCCGAGCATAAACAGATCCCCGGATCCCAAAACAGGCCTCCAAGCGATCAGCAGGTGACTGCTAAAGCGGCCACATTTGACTGAAGCGGCTCCATTGTATCCAATTTTGTCCCCTCCACCCCGAATTCCTGACTACACCGCTGACTGGGCTTGGCTTAAGGTGACTTAACTCTGCATATGTCAACCAATTGTGTACTAAAAAAGCATGATCGCATTTAGTAGGACACGACATGTGAATCATGCCGATGGATCGCCTGCCTTCTGAGGCAGTTCAAGGAAAGTTTGAACCATTGTTTCGTTTTTGTTGTTCCCAAATTTGACGTATTCAAAGCAGCAGGGGGAGGACTCGGGCAATGTGGTCTCTGAAGCCATGACGAGCGGTGCACCATGGTAATGACTGTGTTTCCTGGCCCAGCCATTCACCCAACCGGACAACAGGAGCCTATTCGTGACATGACAACACCTGTATCCCGCTTCGCCATCACAGTCACAAAGCGCCGTTCGTGATATGACTCGGCGTGTGACTCTCCATAACGTGATATGTGGAATGAAAATATGTGTGACCCACCGTGGCGTTGCAGTACATGGCGCATCGTGGAATGTCAATAGGCGTAGCTCTTAATGTCGAAGCAATGAAACACTGCAATTAAAACAGGACATGAGATGTGGTTTCGATTTATTCAGCTGGCCACCGGCCTACTTTCCCATGGCACAGCAGCATTGCACAGCGTCAAAATATGCCCTGTCAGTCGTTATACGCGCGTATCATGCATGCACCACATGGGACGCTATGCTGAGTGTATTACGAGCAATGACGTGTTTTACTGATGAAATCCGTAGATAATGACTCCATTTCCTGTCTGAGACACAACTGATCTGCTAAGTTAATGTGCAAGTGAACAGGAATAAATTTTTTGAATGTACTGCATTTGATTTGCGATTCAGCCTTGTCCGGATTTTCACCTAATTTTTTGCCGTTTTGGACCGGAGTGCAGGCGGTCCGGAGCAATGCGCGTGATGTCAGTTAACCAGTCTTTTGAAGTCCTAAACTTTGCGATGGTGCTACTGACAACTAAATGTTTTGACTACGACGCTTGTCATAAATGCGCAAGACAACGCATTTCATATTTGTTTGCATACACATTTATAAGGACCACGTTACGACCTCGGGTAGAGCACACTCGTACGAATGTAATGCCTGGGTAACAGTGGTTGGCTGAAGGAGGAAGCACGATTCCATTGATTCCAATCGCTACTCTTTTGTTCCGAGACCAGGTCCAGTCGCGGCACTTGATTTTGGATCAGGAGTGCAGCCACGGTTCCTGGTGATGCAGGAACCGTGACTGAATGATGTGAGGCTCTCGCCCACAGTTCCTGACTCTGGACCAGGACACCTGTGTCGCGGCTCCTGACTCTTGATCAGAAGGTTCACAGCTCACGGCACTCGTGATCCTGGATGAGGTTCCGGTCACGATTCCTGGTCTTGGACCAGGAGACCCGATCAGACGCCTGACGCTGGATTAGGAGACCTGATCAAATCTCGTGACCCTGGATCACGAGGCCCGGTCGCAACTCCTGATCCTTGATCAGGAGGTCCCGGTCACGGATCCTGGTCCTGAATTATAAGCCCCTCCGCTCACGGCTCCTGACTCTGTATCAGGAGGTCCTGATCACGGCTCCTAACCCTGGATCAGAAGCCCCGAGTTCACGGCTTACGACCTTGGATCAGGAGGTCCAGATCACGGCTCCTGACCCTGGATCAGGAGGTCCAACATCTGGGCGGCCATATCCTCGGCGTTTCTGGCCAGCTGGGTGTCGTGCTTGGGCAGGTCGGGGTACTGACCCTGCAGGCTGCTCTCCACCAGCGCCAGCCGGCCCCACTCATCAGGCCCATTGAAGTCCTCATTGCGCTCATTGCAATCCTTCCCAGACTCGCTTCTGTCCTCACCGGGATGGCGCTCGTCCTCAAGCCTGCGATGAATGTGACATGTCAGTCCAATGAGGACAATTAACTAGAGGACTTTGTGGGTCATTCGCCACTAACTCAAATAATGATTGATATTGATGACGCAGGCCTGTGACGGACGCTGGGGCGTGGGTAACGGTAATCACGCCAATCATTCTACCAGATCACCTTCGGAATAATTGCATTTATCTCGAGCGTCAGGGTCAGCTGCATGGGTATGGCTGCTCTGCTAAACGAGCAAATGCAGCGGGACTGGTGGCTTATGTAATGCACCTGTTCCGCGCCGGTTCATCACTGGCGGTTGTTTTGTGTGTGATTGCATAATCTGGGGGCTCGGAGCCCTCTCCCTGCTCCTCGCCTGGAAGCGGGGATCTCAGATATCTGGGAAAGCGGGCGATATGCCACTGGCTAATGGTGCAGTGGAAAGATCTACGGCTGATGTTTCGACAGAACGTATGGATGTCTGAGCATTTCGGAGAAGAGCGGCAGGCGAAACAGCCTCAACTGTATCAGACACAGCTTCTGTGACGGACGCTGGAGAGGTGATGGCAGCCAAACCAGTCACTCCGCCAAATCGTGTTGGAAACAATTGCAGTTGTCTCGGGCAGTTACATGGGTATGGCTGGTTTTCTCAACGAGCACGTGCGGTCGGACTGGTGGCTTATGTAATGCACCTGTTCCGTGACGGCTTAAAACTAATGTTTCTTTTGTGTTCGTGCAAGGCGCGCTACCTCCCGGTCTGCTGTCCTTAACCCTGTCTTCACCGGCCTGCCGACGCAGCACTTGACCAGGAAAAACAGCAAAGACATCCAGACGATACGCCCATCGTCGGATACGTACCTGGGTGGTGCTACCTGACGGGCGTTGCGCACTGTTACGAGACATTTTGGATGCAGCACGTTGAAAAACAGCTCTCCAACAAGCTGGGAAGCCGGAGAATGAGCTCGTCGCAGGCATCGGAAGAAACTGGCGTCGCATCGACAAGATGACCTGGAAATCATATCTCATTAATGTGATGCACCGTCGTTCTTCGAGCAAACACCATGTTGCAATGCTACGGAATTGTCGGTCTTTCCCAATATATCGCTACTGAAGATAAACAGGAAACAGGAAAGGGCGCCAAACAGGAAAAGGAACTGACCAGTTGTGAACGCATAGACCATGTCGAAGCCGACACATCAGTTTACAAGAATGAGTCCACATGAATTTGCAGGAATGGGTAGTCAGACACATTTATTCTTATGCTTATATTCTTATATACTTAAATATACGGTTTTTCCCTCAGACGCGTCATCGTATTCGTCCACCCGTTAGCCAACACTCACATAAAATGCTTGCATTTGTTTTACATAAAGTGAAAGCCATTTCTTTTGCCGATGAAATAGTGGCATGTGGAAAGCATGTGTGTAAACGGGTTGCGATTGCTGCGTATATTCTGGGCAGTACATTCCTGTAAATACATGAACGAATAAATAAAAATTGCCTAAGCACACATGGTATATTATACCTAAACTTCACACCTCAATTTGGAAAAAAGGGGTATAACTGCGCACGTTCTGTTACACACAAGTGTTGTGCTCATAAAGAGCACATTCAAACTGCAAGGCCACCATAAGCGATTGCTGTGGATATGAACATTAGCTTTAGAACATGTAGTAAATGTTGATATACACATAAAATATGCACATACACCCATAGCTACATATATATATATATATATATATATATATATATATATATATATATATATATATATAATGTTCGACGGAGAACAACCGCTGACTCCCCATTGACGAGTATTATATGCATCGTTTTTGTTTCGGGGCTTTTGACTTGGCAACATCGTTAAGATGAAAGATAGTCCGTGCAGAATCACTCATATATTCGTCAATCTGCATATTCTCACGTTTCGGAACCTTATCTCATCGTCGAAGAAATATAAATGACACAAGAAAAAAGCTTTGGGTTTTTGAAAATATAAATTGTGTATCACTAGACTAGACTATCACTAGAACGTGTTTACCGTTAAGAGAAAACAGCTGAAATAAGACCAAATCGAGGCAAGAAAAATGATATTGTTACTTTGATACATACAAAATGCACCCTTAACGTAAACACTACAAAGACACAAGCACTTTGCCACAATTACATCTATAGTACTTACCACCCAGTCCCTAACAACTCAAGGTTTGTGCAAGAGTTTATTCATTTGTCTAGGATTGGAGAAAGTTTGCTAATAAATATGGTTTCCCAAATTTGAAGGCGTCTTCTGTCATAACGTCGGCAGAACGTCAGTGTTGCCCTTCACAACGTAATGTAGCCTCTCTCTCTCTCTCTCTCTCTCTCTCTCTCTCTCTCTCAGGAGTCTCTCTGCTCTCGAGTAGCGAGATAGAGAGCGGCTCGTCTAGCTGCTCGCATGAGATCGAGCATTCTCGCTCTAGAGAGCAGATAGCTAGCGCTCTCTACTTCTCTCTCTATCTATCTCTTCTCGCTCATCTCTATCTCTCGTCTCGATCTCCTCTAGCTCTCTCTTCTCTCTCTCTCTCTCTCTCTCTTCTCTTCTCTCTCTCTCTCTCTCTCTCTCCCCATCGCGTAATCACGAGGGCTGCAAACTTAGTTCCATTCCGTACATTGACGCAACCGCGACGCTTTTCCGGCGCCTGACGATGTGCTTACGTGACGAGGCATCTCTAGAGCACATCCGACACGAACATGACAGGACATTGACACGACAGCTGACGGACAGCACTTATATTTTTCAGACCTGCAATGACAGAAGACGCCTTCAAATTTGGGACAGCACATTTATTAACTAACTCTCCAACCTTAAACAAATAAATACAGTCTTGTACAACCCTGAGTTATTAGGTGGCGGGCGGTAAGCACAATATGTGTAATTGTGGTAATGCGTTCATATCTTTCTAGCGCTTCGGTATGGGTGTATTTTAAATGCATTAAAGTAGCTATAGAATTTTGCGTTGCTTCAATGTAGTCCTACTTCAGTTGTCTTTTCCGTATAAAAGACGTTCTCAAGAAAGTGATGCACAGTCTTTATCCTTAAAAGCTCAAAACGTTTTTCTTGTGCTATCTATATTTCTCCGACGACATCATGGTATCTTGACACGCAAGAATGCACAGATTGACGAGCGTGTGCGATTTTGCACAAACCATCTTTGATCTTAACGGTACTGCTAAGTCAAAAGCCCGGAAGCTCCAACAATGCATAAAAGCGATAAGGAGCCAGCGGTCCGTTTCAGTCAAACATGCATAAAAGTAACATCCTGCCAAGATATACCAATATGTATGGATAACCAGAGCACAAGTCGATGAAATCTGAGAAGTTTTTCGTACCTGTCCCTTTTGGCAACTTCCACAACTTTGGCCCCTATCATTTTGAGAAATCGACACCCATGGTGCGTTCATTGTGGCGGAACAGGGGCCTGCCATTACGAAAGCGGCTGGAGTAGAATACAGTGGCAGGGAAGGGAGGCGGGGGGAAGGAGGTGGTGGGGTGGGGGGGGGGGAGAGATGCAAGATCGACAGCGAGAGGACTGCTCACGATCCAGCCCAGTTCTAACCCCACCGGAATGCGGATCTGGTGTCTTTGTTCCGTCTGCAAACCGGTTGGTGCTGCTCATACTCAGAACATACGTGCCCCGGATTTGCGACGTTTGCGGCGCGGTAATGGTGGCGACCCTCCATTCCCCTGCGCCATGAAGGGCATGGTGTTGTCGCTCACTCTCTGGTGACCTACGCCGTGTAGGGCATGGTGGGGTTGCTGTTTTGTTTTTTTACCAGCGCGTGCAGGGCATGTTGGGGTTGTTGGATCTCCGGTAGTGCGATGTGAGATTACTGGCTCTCCAGTGACCTACGCCGTGTAGGGCATGGTGGGGTAGCTGACTCTCCGGTGACCTACGCCGCGTAGGGCATGGTGTTGTTGCTGTTTCCCCGGTGACCTACGTCGTGCAGTACATGGTGTGGTTGCTGGCTCTCCGGTGACCAATGCCGTGTAGGGCGTGGTGGGGTTGTTGGATCTCCGGTGACCTACGCCGTGTAGTGCGAGGTGGGGTTACTGGCTCTCGGGTGACCTACGCCGTGTAGGGCATGGTGTTGGTGGCGCCCCGGCTGGTCTGGCCGGCGGCGAGCCAGAGCGGGCAGTGGTCGTGGTCACGGCAGCATCGGTCGGTCGCTTCGGCCGGCCCCAGGTCGTCATAGCTTGTGGCCGCGCTGCCTGCGCCGCACCATTTGGTCCCTGCCGGCGAACGGGCCGGCTGTGGCACCTCGTGAAGACCCAGACAGACGACATGACAGCCTGGACATTACTGAGCCGTTCTCCAGCCCCACTCATAACGGACGGCATGCAGATGAGCGGGCTCATGTATAAAGTGGGGGACTGCACTACAGGGTCCATAGCAAATACGCCATTGCGTTTTGCACGTAATAACTTGCTCGCGTGTGGCCAGTAGTGCTGTACACCCGAGACATTTGTACATTAGGTAATAAGACACCTACAAATAACACAACACAACGCGTTGGTACATGGGGAGTGTAAGGCGAGGGACGATATATCGGCAAGGCATATGACCGCTATACAATGCTAACCATGTTTAGAAAAGCAAAATTTACCAGATACGTTTCGGAGAAAGCCGTGCCTACAGGGTACGGCTTTCTCAGTCCAACAGTCCAGGAACAGAACAGTTCCATCCAGTCCAGAACAATCCAGGCCGTTCGGTTCTGGACTGCTGGGCACAAGCACGGCTTACGGGAATCAAGGAAATGTATCTAAAATTCCGAACAAATTTAACTACGTTTGATGTATGCACATCTGCAAAAATAGCAATCGCTTGGCTTTAAATAGGTGGAATAATCGTGTAATGCTATACACAGCCGAACTAACGCACCAGTTACTCCAGGTATGGAACGGAATGAGCCGTATGGGAGTCGGGATGGTTCGGCCCTGTAGATATATGAGTATACCCATACCCCTACTAGCGCTCAACTCAAGGTAGTGGCTCAGATGTTCGTGTGTGGCTGTTTATTGGTAATGTGATTGCACAGGTGCTATTACCTTGGTTCACGTAATCGACCATCAAGGCACCGTGACTTCTAAATTTCCGACGCGATGAAAATCACGCTATGCAGTAATGCTCAATCACTAATAGTGAGCTTAGCTGCTGTATGGCGCAGTGCGTCACACCCGTGGCGCGTTAAAAAATATCATAAGGCACAATATCTTGCTCCGCACGCGTCCGACAGGACCACAGAAACGGGCACGCATGATAAATCCCGGCGACTTTCTAGCGCTTACCAGGCATCGTCGACTTCATCAGGTTGTCGATAGCAGCATCAGAGACGAAGGCAGACACATCGGCCGACCTCCTGCGCCTGCTGAGGCGATCACAGATCCGGTGCCCTCTCGAGAGCGACATCCTGCCGTGCAAATCCCAAAACACACAGGTAACTAGTGATGCTGTACAGCGTGCTCTCCCTCGCTTGCACCATTGGCGGGTTGATTGATATCGTAGCGCGCAAAGCGTTGGATAGACGTGACCAAAAAATTCCGGGGAATTTGCGATTCCCCGACAAAAGTGGAGTACCCCTTCGTACCAAATGTTATGCAGTTGGTATCGGGCTCCTTTCCTGGAGAGCCTCCGTCCTTTGGAATTGAGCGACTTCGCATAAATTGTGCGTGAAGTTAGCTAACTCTAATCCAGAGTGCTCTTGATGTGGAACACTAGCCAATTCCTCGGTGCTGCGATACCCTTGTCTGTAGCGTGAGTCGCTCCCGAACACAGAAACGCTTAGAAGACGGAGACAAAGAGTCTCTTAGGACATAAATAGATTATAAAAAACATCCGTTGAGCTCCACATTTACCGCTGGTTCATATGTATTTATTTGACGGTCGATTATTGAAAGCCTATCAATGCGGGGTCCTTGACTGAGCCAGTTTTAAATTGTGTCTTGTTTTAACCAAAATCGCATGACTTCTAGTACAAAAACAAATACCGTTTGTCAGAATATTGTGTGCACTGGAACTCGGCCTGCTTACTGTGCCAGCAAGATCGGCATCTCTTGTGAACTGTTCACACGACTGCGTTTGCCCATGTCAATTGTCGCATGGGCTCAAATAATTCGTCGGCAGGTGCATGAAAAGGCTCTTCCCAACGTCCATTTTCCAACCCCAGAGCTCGCACCTTTGCCGGAAGGCCAGCGCCAAACAGCCTTTTGAGCGCAATAATGACGCGTTTTTCCACAAAGGTGTATGAGAAGACTTGTGGAAGCGTACACATCACCGAAAAGTGCCCACTGACAAACTGCACACTTGAAGCACTGACCGTTGGCAGAGTCCATCGATCACGCTGCGAGTGACGATTATCTCACTGCTGGCAGTGATGATCAGCTGCAGGGCCAGCAGCAACAACGCACCTGAAATTATGCCATGGGGAAGACGGGATCTAAATATAACAGTTTTTACGGTGTTATTTTCTTGGTCACATTTAATTCGGAAACAAGTCGGTCTTTGTGTCAAATCAGGGGGATGTATAGTGTTTGGAACCAATAGTCCATTCTCCACATATGAATCAAGACGATCCAAAACATTGGACTAAATGTGACGATAGTTTTGATCTAGCAACTACTGCCGTACCAGGCTACGTTCTTGTTTTCGTCCTCATGTTATCACAATTTTTCAGTTCTCACGTTCTCACGTTTTCAGCACGAAAACAGGGTATGTTTTTGTAGGAGTGCAAACAGTGAGTTCCTCTTTATTTCCATTGCCGTATATATATATATATATATATATATATATATATATATGTATATATATATATATATATATATATATATATATATATATATACGACATTCTGAAAAAACAGTCAATTCTTACCATAGATAACGGTGTAACAGTTTGCCTCGACCATATTTTAAAACAAATACAGGCAGAGCATGTTTGGCGTAAATTTGATCCACTCAACCTAAAAGTACAAGTTAGAACGATTTCAATGAGTTGTCACTGTTCACAATAGTTTGGAAATTTAAGTGACGTGACCCAGACGGGCAACTAGGAATAGCAAGATCACTCATGTCATGAAGTTACTGTCCACGCAAAATCCTTTTCACTATAATTCTTAGAGCAGCAGGGGCGGCGATGCAAAACTGAGACAGATGACACTCAGACAGTTGCATATGCCGCCACCACAATTTTGCCGTAACCGGATTTCACAGCATTTTTCCATCGGCTCTTTACCAACCTGCCCGTGTAATGGCTAGACCTGGCCTCCCCTACTGTGAGTCTACCGTCCCGTTGTAACACACACGCAAGGTTCGCGATGACATGCTCGTTGCCAGCCATCACCTTTGGGTGGGGAATGGACCGCTACCCTGCTCATTATCATATCGGGCACGTGTCTCTTTGCACATGTCCCTGATGCGTCATATAGCACGCTGCACATGCCAGATGACATTACCTTAGCTCACCACGCGCATGATGAACGTGCAGCTGGGAACAAGCGGCATGTTTATTCAGCCGCACAATTTACGTCCGATGCAATAAGCTCTCTTCTCTCAAGCCTGAGACAGATTTCGGACTCTCCATTGTAAACTTTGGGTGCATTATTCCTCCTATTCAGGAATAGGCGGAATCATTGGCTGATTTTGGTCGCCTTCGGAATTCGGTTGGCACGCGCTCGGGTGGGGTCAAATTGACCCCCGGAAGGTTTTTCCAGAGCGGGTTCCAAACGGCGCGGCGTAGCCGCGCCAAATTTTACATGGCTGTAGACAATTGAATAGCGGATCGTTTGGTGAGCAAGTTATGTTGACCAAAGGTCGGGTATGAAGGTCAGATCAAGGTCAAACCCAACCTGTTTTGTTACCCTAGGGCTTGCTGTATCGGATGGTTTCTGGTGCTCATTTCGAATTTATCGATAGCAGAAACTGCATTATACATGTTCCATGGACTTTTTAAAGGTCAGAATAGGTCATTGACCCGAGATACCCAAGTCAACATCTTGTTTTTAGAAACATACTGTCTCGCGTAATCCTTGTCGCTTATTCAAACGCAAAACCCAGAGCAGTCCTGTATGATTTTGGTCAAAATGACCTTTAAAAGGTCAAACAAGGTCACTGATCTAAAATAAGCATGTGAACTTTGCTTAGAAACAGTTATGTAGGCTCTTGGAGTACTTTGGAGACCATCCTGGAATATGACCTTGTTTGACCTTATTTAACCTGAAGATCAAAACCTAGGAGCTTCAAACTTTGACGTCAGTGGGTTCACGTAGACGCCAACACGCCCTATAAATTTGGTGCCTCTAGCTCTTTTAGTTCCCGAGATCTCAGGGGGATCAAATTGACCGCCAACCCCCCCCCCCCCCCCACCCGAACGAAGATATCCAGCCGACCACCCGGGCGCGTGTTAAGGCAGGCATTTCAGTCTCGATGGCAACGTTTGCAGAGGAGATTTTGACACACTGTTTCCGTTCGACCGCGGAACTTCCGCAATATCAGCTGAGCCAATCACAGGCTTTTAACGCACTGAATACCCGACAAGTGGCGCTGTGTAGTGAGCAACGTTGCGGCACACTCAAATTTATAGAAGCAAAAAACACTATGCAGCTTACAAGACTGCAGGGCTTGCCTAGTCAGGTACATAAGCTATGATATGTCTGCCTGAGTGTAATCCCACTACGAGCTTGCGATTGACGCGTCCCCCTCACCTTTTGACATCCTGCGCCGCTACGTCAGATCGCCGGTGCTCAGGTCTGCGGGGTCGCTGCTCCAGGCGCCGCTGGGGTCACGGGGCACCAGAACAGGCCCCGCGGCACAGGCCGGGATCGGTCGCCGCCACGCTGCGTCCGCTCCAACAGCAGCCGATCGGTGGCTGTGCTCCGTCTGGGCCGTGCCGACGACGCCTGCGCCAACGTCATTGGTCGGCGCCCTCCCCGGGGGCGGGGGGGGGGGGGGGGGGCGGCTGCGTGGTTTCCACCGTGCGCTGCGTTATCATCGGATGGGGCGTGCCGCCACCACCCGCTCGCTCATCGGCTGATCATTGGCTGACCTCGCCGGTCGGAGTGTGGGCGCGGTTTTGAGCCGTCACGTTTCGTCGCGTGGATGCGGCCGACAATGGCACGGAACTGGCCGATCGTCACAACACGGCGCCGAGGCGTCACGGGCTCGGTAGCAGCACACAGGAACGTGACTGGCTTCCCGGTCGATGTTGCGCTTTGACAGCGACGTGCCGAATTTGGGCAATCTACGATGGATGTGATTTATGATGAGCTTGGCCTTCACACAGACTTAGAACAGAGGAGTAGGATAAGATTGGGTCAAGGTCGCTTAGCACCTATCGGAGTTCAAGCGCGGCATTCTGGGCCACAAGATGAAATATCGTCGCGAGATCAACCATTCTACGTCGCGCGCTTTTCTGCCATCCTTTTAGCAGTATGCAGAAGGATTGGAAAATATACCACCGATGCAGATGCTCATGATATTAACAACACATTCGTATATGGATTCAAATACACATCTGCGTGCCTCTGAAGTCGGTTAAGAAAGCCTGTAAAGAATGTAGCCTGTGACGTGGACATAAAGTATCTAGAGCAGTCAAGCACGCATGCAGCCGTTTGGCATTCAGGGGTCAAAATGGGTTGCCGGGGTCAATTTTGCAGAGCCCTATAACTTCATACTGTGACTTGATAGCGCAGAAATTCATCGTCAGCAAAAGCCAGCATCCTAGAATAAGAACAGAGATGGTACAAAACCAACGAAACGACCCCTAAAAGCCAATGCTTGCCCTTAGGTCACAACATCTTAAAATTGCTTGGCTCTGTATGAAAAGCTCGGGAACCACAGAACTCCAGGAGAGAAAGATTCAACTATGCGTTACCAACGCTGATGTATATGGAATAAGATGTAGACGGCTCACATTGAAGTACAATGCATCATTGTGACATCAAGAACACCAACGACCTTGACTTGTGTATGCAACAACATGAAACTGGATGCTTTAAGAACAGCAATTCAACTCTGAAAGAGCAAGTGCAGACCAGCAATCTTGCACGCCCAAGAATCCAGGGTTTGCCTTGACGTCATGGCAAACGCTTTGCTGAGTAATTAATTAGCCAGTCAAAATATCCATATCCGTAAGGCTGTAAAAAGCACTACTGTGTTATTCAAGAACAAACATTGTACTTTAAACATGTCGCCTTAAAGCAGAGAAGTTAAAAGCATCATTGATAGTCCAAGGTTACAACACAATTAACGGATGTGCAACCACATACAAACAAGAACCGGTTTCGCTATATTGCGATAAGCATACCAATTTACCTGGATAATCTGGCGTATAAAGCCACGCTCCATAACTTTCGTTCATCAAATTAATCACTTTTCTTGAAGAGAAAAGAGCAGGTGACCAAAGACAAACCGTGCGTACCTCATAACTTTTGACTGAAGTTAGATAAAGCAACAATGCCTACGCCAATATAATCAAACGGGTCTGGAAACAACACACATTAGAACAAAACTGAGCGCTAAAAGCTACCTAATGACCTAAGATCACAAAGTGTTTGCGACAATAACAGGCGTTGTTTTCAAAAAGGTATTTTTTGCATACTCGATAATTTTAACATTATGCCGATTCTTGCGCTGAACACAACGATGAGCTGGGCTCAACTGACCACAAATGGCTTACACTGAGGATTATCTGGTTGACCGTTACTGTTTAAACTCAGATGAGTGTCAAGTTTTGAAAAACGAAACAATTACACCAAAGGTTGAAAAAGACAAGAGGCCCATTCAACCATCACGTTCTAGTAATTTGAGAGGTATTGATGACCAGACAATACTTTTACGTGTCAGTAACATTTCAAGGTCGTGTGGAACCCATTGTTACCTCGTAATTAACGAATGAACATCCAGTTAAAAACAAAAGCAGTTTTTACCTACCCAACGGTAGGCACAAAGTGCCATGGAATCAATGCTATAATGTAAATAAACATGTCCCACAACCTTTGAACACAATTTTTCATCGGTTAGGCTGTGGAGATGGTCAGTTCATGAAGGCCAGGTCGCGCGTACCCTTTAACTTTTGATTGAAACGAAAGAGAACAACGATTTCAGTGCCGATATATTCGAGCAGGGTTCGGCTAATTGCAAACAAAAATGAGTGCTAAAAGCCAACGGTTGACATGAGGTGAATAAGTATCTTAGAAACGCCATGTTGTTTGTTAAAACACGCAAATCCTTCGTTCTCTTTAATTTTTAGGTTATATCAACGTCCGTGATAAAAACAGCGATTTACAAGCCAGCAGACCACAGATAATAAACGTCAAGCAATTATCTGGTTGACTGTTGCCGTTCGACCTTAGGTCACCGCCATTTTTTGGAAAACAAAAAAAACATGCTCGAAATAAATCAAGAAAATGAGATTACTCCAAAGCGGTAAAATCTTCATGACTGGAGTTTTCACATTTGAAGATATCGAAGCCAGGACCACATGTGATGAAACAAGCTCAATTGTAATAGTGGTATGCTCTTTAAGTGAAAATGACTGCTCTAAACAGCACAATTTTCTGTTTAGGAAATATCCCGCTTAATGCGTCATGGTTTGCTTAAGTCATCGTACCTTACAGGGTCACCAGGATCACCAACAATTCTTTGCATTGCTTGATGATAAGTACTTTCTCCGGAGATTAAAACGTGGCGTTTTCTCATGGGCCTGTTGTCTTGCCTTGGCTTTTTATGTCTCACGTAATTTTGTGTAGTGAACTGAGGTCAAGCAGTCAGCTAGAAAATTGTTCAACCCGCATCGTTCGAGGTCTGTTGAACCTGTCTCAACGTTGTGTTCATCGCAATAAACGCAATTATCTTCAAGTTACATGGTGCACAACACGCGCCCAGAGCCACAAATTGTGTGTCGTTTTCACTGCTCCCTAGTAACCTGAAGTCAATCGGTGGCTATACTGACCTGAGGATGTGTACAAATGATTTTCACCGTATCTGAGTCACCTGCAGCGGCTGCCGCCTGGTGACAGAGGTGTCGCGGGCGGGCAGCGCGGGCCACTCGGCGACACGTAAGCGGGTATTGATCCGTCAGCACACACTGGCCCCAGCTGAGGTCGGCGGCTGCCCTGGCGACCGCTGCCGCCGTCCTCGTGCTCAGGCTCGCACGGCCGCGACCTGAGACACAGGGGTACCAGCTCTCGAGACCGCAGGTCGCCTCCCTGAAGCTGAGGGCTCCCTGCGGCTCGGGTCGTTGGCGCTGGCTGATCTCAGCTTCACGGCTTCACGGCATGTTGCCGAGCTCCGGTCTGGGACCGGGGAGGCCAGCTTTAGTCCTTTTCCCACGCTGTTCGGTACTCAGCTGAAGTCTGAAATTAGGAGCTGATATAACCGCCCTGCATAGCTCCCAACTAATGCCACACAACACCCGGCGCATGCTTAACGTTTTAAGCAGAGCGACACACAATGCGATTTTCAAGACGCTGTTCACGCTTTCCGATTTCGTTTACGTTTTGTAAGTTTTCGTATAAGCTTTGGCTGTTGGGTGTACCCAAACCATGACCGCAAGGCGCAGTGCATCGTTTTCTATAGCCACACTGTGTCTAATGCCGGTACTGCTATGGTGATATTGACCTGCTCACTAACATTACAATTTCCTGTGTTATGCGTTTTTGTGTTCATGACTTTACCTGTCATTGCGATAGAGCCTGTGCATTATAAAACACCAGACAACAAACTCAAAATATTTCTTTTTCTTGTTACAGTTCGTCGCCAAACTCTCTGCGTCTGCTCCTTCCATCGCACATGGTAGGTCAGACGGGCCCTCCAGGGAGTGCGATGATCGGTCGCAGTCACGTGATGGCGTTCAATGTCATGCAGCGATGGCAAACTTGCTTTATGAACGAGAGCGAGTCATGTCATCATCTTTTTGCACTATATTCAATACTGCTCCGATTTCGCTCGTCCCGCGACCGGTCCCCGCTCTCGCCTCTCATGGCTCCCTCTTCACGTTCCATGCGTATTACTGCACAACAACCTGCCACAGATGCAAATACCACTGCATAACTGCTTTGGGCGTTACGAGAATGAACGCGCATTGGTAAGCAATTTCATAATGCTATCAAAACACTAGTGTCGGCTGTGACTGCCGTTTATATGACCAAGCATCCCATCGATACTTTTATTTACCGGGAGGGCGTGTGTTGAGCAAATGTGAGGATGGGAAAACGGAGGCTTATGGGCATAACGATTAAAATGCTTAGCAAGGACAGGACGCGGAGTCGTAAGTTTCGCTGGTACAAATTCAGATGTGAAACATGGCAATCAATCACAGCCCAAAGGCACGTATTGTGTGATTCAATGCGACCCAGACGACCAAGACGTCAGGGTCACGAGGCTAAGTAGCACGCTTGTCGCCCCCCCCCCCCTCCCCCCGCCCTCAAGCACACATCATATGAGCTGACAAACGGGGCCTGCCAACAGACCGGCGTTATGTCCCCGTAACCTATCTCCTGTCACCTGTCTCTCTGACCCGTCTCCTACACGGGACAGCGCTACCTTCGCCCATTAGATGGATGTTGAGCCGCAGGTCACCCACGCCTCTAGAAACTGTACGCCACTAGCGCCACCTGCCAGTCAAAGTTCGAATCACATTCCCCGTACTGAGATGAATGGCAAGCGAACGCAACGCCATCTGCATCCTGGGGTTTAAAACATAGTTCGACCTGGCTTCCTGCAGTCTGCCCTTGTATGCTGCCCGGTCTGCGCGCTGCCCGCCTGCCTGAGTTTGAGCCACAGTTCCTTCCTCTTCCGTGGAGCTGAATGCACGACTTCAGCCTGCACCGTCTGCCAGCGCGCGCAGCAGCATCAGCAGCCCCCGATCCGGCCAGACGCTTCGGTGACCCCGGCCGGAGCGGCGACGCCAGCCCTACTCTCGCTTGAGCGGTCGGTTGGTGAGCGTCGGCCGCAGCACCGGGTACAGATAGGTGGAGGCGACGGCGCCGACCGTGGCCGCGCCCCAGTACACGGCCACGTGCTCGCCCACAGAGTGGCCGCGGCAGCCCAGCTTCATCGCGCTGGCCAGCATCGGGTTGTAGTAGCCGCCCGAGTAGTTGAAGCCTGCCGACGCCCCGGAACAGAGGTCACAGGCGCGTCAGCACCAGTTGCGGGTGCTTTCGGGCGTGAGCCATGATAGGCTGAGCGTGTTAGGGGTGCGTTTTGCCCCTGTCTGCCCTGCTAAAAACGCGTCTGGCGGAGAACTACGCCATGCCAATCACCACACAGCACAAGGCAGGTTGATTGAGGCCTACCGTTTGGTTCAAACACAGTAGGATCAGCTGCGAGCCCAGTCGTACCGACAGGCGCGCCATCTGTGAGGCGAGTAGTGAACCGGGGCGCTGGCAAGGCTGCCAACTAGCCTGCACAGCGCTGCCAGGAGCTACAATAGAACGGCACGACATCGCCGCTGGTGCTCTTGGCTGGCAGCAGCGGCGTTATGCATTTCTGGAGTCAGCGCCACACACCGCCGTCGTCGGTCAGGGTGAACGCCGCGGCGGGCCGCGGACAGCATGGTCGGCGGACAGCAAGGTCGACGACGGCAGTCTGGAGGACAGCTGAGGTGTTGGGCGGACGCCTGTACGCGCTCGCCGATTTGAATGTCATTAATTCAGAAGTTGGCTCACGCGGCCATCGTTCTTTATCCACGCATCGCCCTGCATTCTCGCGAGGCCTCGTGTATCAGGGCGAGGTGTATGCAGCAGTCAATAGTGGGTTTGTGCCTCTGGCGGGACCCCGTCCGAGTTCCCGCACCGAGGAGGGGTCCCTGTGCCGGCCAAATCTCGGCGGAGGGCTCCCAGGCCATGCAGTCTTGCCCCCTCCCCCCCCCCCCCACTTTCCACTCTTCTTCATCCCACTGCCCTAAAGTGGTAACCAATGACCGAAATGACCTAATCCCAGCCAAGTCAAACCAAAATCATTTGACTAGGCTGTCATGCGTAGTAAAATCAGAATTTTCAATGAAATCTTTCGTCAAAATTCCGCAAGATCACCAAATCAGCAAGAGAATAACGCGAACGAAATGACCGAGACATATGTTATCCCTTGCTTTACTTAAAAACAACGTCATGTCTATGTCGTTTCGCAACTTGCATTTCTTTAGACAACTGTGCTCTGGGTGCTAAGGAAGTAGATTCATTGGATGCATTGCTGTTTTTTGCATCGGGATGATCGTTTTTCTAGCGTGTTATGAAACTACCGAACTCCGACGATTCTATTACCTGAACCTGACTCCCACGTGGACACACAATGAGCCTACCGACCTGCGATAACGAGCGAGGTGCCACAGAGCGAGTCGATGGCGACAGCGAAACGCGGCTCGAGGTCGTCCATGGAGCGGGCCACCAGCCGACAGAGCAGCACTGCCACGCCCTCGACCAGGGCGCCCTGCAGAGGCGACACTTGCAGGTCCGCCGAGCACTCTTCCAGCCAGCGGTCGTGGTGCGCCGGCGACAGCTCAAGCCGCCACAGCAGCCGGATATACCTGCCGGCCAGGTCAGGTCGGGGCAGGTCGGGTGAGGTCGGGTCGGTTGGGTAGGGCCAGGTTAAGAATGGACCCGAGCGCGTCCTCCGCTTAGGTCATGTCAGAAGCGGGACGCACCCATCCGATTGTGTGGGGCCCCCAGTAGCTGGTAGTCAACTGCTTGTACGGGCCCGGATAGGCGGGTCAGATCAGGTCAGCACCCAAAGGTACCTGCCCAGTCAGATCTGCCCGGTCTGCCATTTTTGACCACCTTATACAGCATTGCGATCTGCATTGCTTGCAAACTACAAGCAACCAAAATAGACGACAAAAACAAACCATAGCAAAGGAAGGTGTCAGGAATTGCTCATGTTCGGGCCAAGGATAATGCAAACTTAGATCGCCAGTCATTGCCATTTTCCGACGAACCGAACCAAATTATGCACTGAGCAACGTTAAACAGGATTTCGGGAGTACTGCGTTGTTGATCATAGCCAGGCTGAAACCATAGCGCGAACTCCATAGCCTCGAAGCAGAACATCACAATAAAACATTGTATCACCCTAGCGTCCAAGGGAAGTCGACGTGTTTGCATCCACGAGTCCGTGGACTGCACATGCAGCACTGACCTCCACGTGGCCCAGCCACCGGCCACCTCCGCCAGTATCCTGAGCAGCACTGTTGGCAAGCGTGTCCTGCCCAGCCACCATTCCTCCACTTGCAGGTAGGGGCAGGCATTGGCGTCGCCCCAGGCCAGCGACCAGTAGATGCTCACCAGGAAGAGGTACACGGCGTACGTGATCACGCCGAACGTGTCGGCGACTGCCGGTGGCGTAGAAGCGGCACAAAGGGCGCCACAGAGGTGTTAGGGCGTAGGCAGAGAGAGACACGAGGGCGGGACGTGGGCAGAAAGAGTTGCGAGAGGTGGGGCGTGGGCAGAAGGAGTTGCGAGAGGTGCGACGCGGAACAGAGGGCGCCAGACAGGTGTTAGAACATGGGCAGACGGCATCGCGGGAGGTGGGACGCTGCACAGAGGGCCTCTCAGAAGTGTTAGGGCGCGAACAGACAGAGTCGCGAGAGGTGGAAATCTGACGGCCGCTGACAGACGCCATAGCAAGCGAAGGCCACTGCGATGTCCATTCAGAACCTTGTCGATGAAAATTTGGTGCAAAACGTGTGTTGTTTCTACAATGCTGACACAGCAACATGCCAAGTGCGGCGGCTGCCTCTTTGTAAGTGAATTCTATATGCCGAAGTGCATTTTTCGAATCTACGGCATTCACAACAGGGCCAGATCACGAACAACGATGAGCGCAACTGATAAAAAGTTAGCCCCGCGGACAGAAGTCTCTCAGCTGTTGCGGTCAAGAGCCGCACCCTCCCCAAAGGCAGCCAACAGCCGCCCGCAGCCGCGTCACGCAAGCGTCTCGCACCGAGACACTCACCGATGGCGAGCTCGAAGCAGCAGCCGCACAGCTCACTGGCGGCGATGACCTCGCGAAGCAGCCGCTGCGCCTGCGGCTCCGTCACCGCCCGGCGCACCACCACGCGAAGCAGGTGTGCCGTCAAGCCGATCAGCATGATGATCCCCGTGGAGACGGACAGCGACATGGCCGCGCTCTGCTGCCGGAGCACGGTCAGACCGGCTCAGCGTCACTCGTCGGCGCCGCACGGACCAAAAGCCACAGCATCACGCGTCGGCGCTGCCTGGACCAGCAGCCACAGCATCACGCGTCGGCGCCGCCTGGACCAACAGCCACCACGTCACGCGTCGGCGCCGAACGGGCCAGCAGCCACGGCGTCACGCGTCGGCGCTGCCTGGACCAGCAGCCACAGCATCACGCGTTGGCGCCGCCTGGACCAACAGCCACGGCGTCACGCGTCGGCGCCGCACGGGCCAGCAGCCACAGAGGAGCCTTGGTGGACGAACCGCTCCGGTAGACGGGGAGTCGAGTTTTGCAGAGTCGTGTTACCGATGTGGTATTCGACGTGATGCAACTGACTGGATTCATGCAATTTTTCCTAGCTCGACACGGGCGCAACGGGTGCGATCACCAATATTTACTGGAATAGAAGCCGCTTAATTTAACTGAACTGGAAATATAGAGGTGCCTAGGAAAAAATTGTGCTGTGTGCACCGCCTACCTCAAAATGATTCAGGACGACGGGAGGGCTCCTTGGTTTCGCTGTAATTTTGTTGACCACACGTGCGACTCTGTTACCATGCTCCGTTTGGTGGGAACCCTTACAGACTCTGACACTACGCATGATTTGAGGAACATTCCAAATGGTGTGTGATGGTTTTAAAATCTCTTCAATCGCAAACACTCAATGAGCAAGAGGTCTTTTTTGCTGCTCGTGGACCCTTCACCTGTAGTTGCGTACCTTCGTGGTCGCTTGGAGACGCGAAGTCACCCGGTTTTAGCGCGTTGGGCTAACAGCCTACATCCGTTTGACCGGTTTTTGGACCCTCATTTGCCCTTCGCAGATCGAAGTGACCTCTTGCGTCCCGGGGGAAGGGGGAGCGTGATACCCCATGGCCCCCTTTCCTTGGATCCCCCCCCCCCTGTGCTGGGGTGGATCCAAGGAAGCGGGTAGATCCAACTCGTTACAACTGGCGGGCCGTATGATGTAACAGCTGTCTCACGAAAAAGTCACAGGTGCCAGGTGACTGAGGCGCCGCGGGGCGCGGGTGAAACAGTAGAGACCAGGGACAGACTACGGCCACAGTTGGTAGTGTTCGACACCATTATGGCGCGTATTTCTCGCCAGACGCGCGAATTTTTAAAACGAAACACTGCCGGATGATTTTGCCCCCCCCCCCCTGTCGCTATGGGTGCACCACAGTTTCCCCGCCACAGCGACAGCGTCACGCAGACAGTCAAAGGTCACGAGTCTATGACGGTTGGGGGCAATCGCGTAAGCGAGCACAAGCCGCGCAGGACTGGGCGACCACTACAGTCGGACGTGTCACCGTCTAAGAACTGATGGCGACGCGAACAGTAAACATGTCGTCGCCCCACCGTTTGGCTGGCCTGTGCGCAGCCGCGCGGCCGGCGGAGGACAGGCCGTGGGACATTACCTGGCTGGTGCGCGGCGCGCCGGGACGACCGCCGCGCCTGTCGGCAAGCAGGTGCTCCGCAACGTCCCCGGCAGTCACTGGCGCCGATATCGTTTGAGTCGGCTCACCCCTCTGCGCCGGTATTTTTACGTTTGCGGCGCGGCTTGGAGGGTCGCTCACGAGGCGCCGCGTCGGCCGGCCAGCGGGTCGCCTTCGGTCCAAGGTTCGGATCTGGGTCTGATAGTGCGGCGGCCGGTGGCACCAGCGCGGCACGTCCACCCCGGCGTCTGCCGACCTTCGCCGGCCGCCGCTGAGTACGCGCAGACACTACCACAGCGCGTGGCTGGCCAGTCGGGCGGCCGCGACGCCACTGTAACTGTGACGTCGACCGACAACCGGCGCGGGCGTAGCACCCGTAAAATCTGGGGGTGGAAAATTTGTGGAGTAGATTCTTACATGCATGATTTACGGTTATTTTTAAGCTTTCGCGAATGAAGTGTCGGTGCCGCCCCCTCCCCACTGCCCATCCTCGGGGACACTTTTTTACGCCTATGGGCTATGACAGCGAGCATTAGCAGGAGTGAGCTGTGATATGCCATCACCAACGCGCCACTCCGCACCCACTGCAGTCTGCCGTAAATACGCCAGCAGATCGTGTGGACTGACCCTGGAGCAGGCACAATCAGCCCGTGCCCAGCGGTACCAGCTGGGCAGCATTGGACCCCGCTCCACCGGCGGGGTGGCCTGGTGGCGCCCTTGACTCGCCGGCTGGCAGTTTCGGGCGGTGGGGAGGGAGCGCCGTCCTCGCATACCTCAAGGTCAAATGACTCGGTGTCAATCCGAGCCAGTTTGCCTTCGCTGCGTAAAAAACCTTACAAGTCGTGGGGCTCATGTAATCAAGTGAGGGGTGAGCCTCAGGAGGCGTAAATGCAGCGCGCGCCATTTCAGTTCAAAATAGCAGATTTCCATGTAAAATGGGACGATTTCTGCCAAGCTTTGCCATTTCCGCCAGTCAAAGAGTGGTAGCCCATATCTCGCCTGGGAAATGGTCTTGAGGATATATAAGGGTTGTTAGGGTATTATTCCCTGGGTACCGTTTTCACTTAACCCGTCCGACATTATGGATCTGCAGGTTAGCCAACGAGTGGTAAGACCATAGTAGAGACAGCGAAATTTTGGCGCCTGCTCTCCTCACGTTACCTTATTTTCATATTTCACTCCATTTAGGTACTGCAGTACGGCGACAACTGGAGATTATTGCCGATTTATAAGCTTAACGTAAACATTTCAGGTGATAGCTATTTATTTAAGAATAACTATGCATTTTACGAAAAGACATTGCATGCAAATGTTCAGGCACGTTGACTTCGATGAATATGGCGCGGGCACTAATCCTTGAAAACGTGGTCTAGTAGGATTTATTTCTGAAACCAGATGGTAGTACTGATTTGGGATTGTGTATATCGGCTCATGAGTCGATATACACGCTCCCAGTGCGTGTAAATCGACTCATGAGTAGATCTACACAGAACAGTTCCTATGCTTGAATCCACTACGAAGTGGATTTACACAGAATGCCACTCCTGTGTAAATCGACTCAGATCTGAGTTGATCTACACATAAACGCGCTGTTGTGTAAATCCACTTGTGAGTAGATCTACACAAGCGTGGCTTCAGGAGTAAATCGGCTCAGATCTGAGTGGATTTACACAGGAGCGCCATTCTGTGTATATACATTCCAGAGTGGATTTAAGCAGAGAAGGTGTTCTGTGTGAATTCATTCATGACGTGATATACACAGAAGCGCCATTCTGTGTAATTCCACTCGCGAGTGGATTTAAGCAGAGAAGGTGCTCCGTGTAGATGCACTCATGATGGATATACACACCTGTGAATTACATTGTGATGTGATTTGCACAGGAGACAGAGCGCATTCAACGCAGCGAACTGGCGAACTGATCTATGACTTGCCGAATAAGGGAAATATGTGATTTCAGCAATCAAACAAACGCACAAAAGCTAAAAATATGCATTTGCCCATGCATAGTTCATTTTTGCATCACTGAAGATAAACATCTGCGTACTTTATTGAGAACATACTGTCTAGAGGTACGAATATATACATTTAAGTATATATATATATATATATATATATATATATATATATATATATAATCCCTCTCTCTCTCTCTCCTCTCTCTCTCCTCTCTCCTCTCTCTCTCTCCTCTCTCCTCTTCATCTCTCTCCTCTCTCTCCTCTCTCTCTCGCTCCTCTCTCTCTACTCTCTCTCTCTCTCTCTCTCTCCTCTCTCTCTCTCTCTCTCTCTCTCTCT